ACTCAACCCCCCCAGCACTCAGTCACTTCATGCAACACTCGCAACACGTATGAACACTCGAGTTATGCTCGGGGTGCATCACGTTCGCCGGATGTTTCACACGTTTTAGTTTAATTCAATTGTTTTGGGGAATTGAGCACTTGTGAGGCAGCGCAGATCGGACAGTTGAGGGACCCAGCGTTGTCCTTCATTGGTTTAGTCACTTTTTACTGGTTTTCGGTGTCACTTGGCCGAGTTTTCGGGGCTTTGGTAGTGTCTTTTCGGTGGAATTGCTGGATTTTCACGGTGGAAGAGGGAAATGTGGAGCTTTATCGCGGGAGAACAGTAGAGTTGATCGAGGATTCTACGACGTCCACGACCCACCCTCTCGTGTCGCCTGTACCCCACACGCTGAACGTACAACAACCCACTTGCGCATATATAGCGTGGTAGCGATATAATGTTGCACGACAACGACTTGTGGTACTGTACAGCGGTAAACGTCGACGGTATCGACGAGTGGAGCGACGTCTGGCGACGCGACGGGGGTCTGACCGAGTCGGGGGATTTCTACTGGGGACAGGGGGTGACACCGCAGCATTTTGCCTCTAGATCGTGCGGCTCCGGTATAGAAATGCAAAATGACCGTCATTTTTTAGATCGCGTCATATGACCAAAAAATGACGGTCTTGTGACGGTCATGTGACGCACAAATTTTCCAACTACATATGATTGTCACAAATCATTTGTAACCAAATTGTTGTCAAACCATCTATATAGTTGCATAATGACGGTCAACTAATTTCCAATTGTGACGGTCATGAATAAAACAAAATAGTTTCTTCTATATGGATGAAAAAAAAACGTGATTTCCATTTCAAAATGCGGATTAGGTCAAGACAAATGGAAGTCAACTGAAAATTGACCGAGAAAAAAATAAAGTTTCATCTATATAGATGAAAGATGACTGTCATTTTTTCTTGACAAGTTGTGACGGTCACGGGAGGGGGAGGGGGAATGTGACAGCCGTCATGAACGCCTCGTCATGTGACCGTCATATGACGGTCATGTGACCATCATGTGACGCATTTGCATCTCTACTCCGGTAGAGTCGACGGATTCGTGGCGCTAGGTGTCACTCGCGCTCGCATTCAGCGGAACTAGTGGACTACACAACCTTCGCAACTAGATTCTCAGTATTTCGGTAGCGAAGTGGTCTAACGATTCAAATCCATTTAGTATTCAGTTGAGTTTTTTAGAAATATTTCCGAATTTAAGGGAGATGGCGACATTTTTCGGTAACCTTTTTTGTAGCGCGAATTGAGTGCTACTAAAAAGGTTGTGAGAAAAATTTTGCTATCTTCGTTAGATTTAGAGATATTCAACTGAGAACTGGACAATAGCGAAAATCGAGTTAAACCGTTTGATCACTTCGTTATTGATTTTCATTTATACGGCCTTGGAAATGGGCGGAAAATTAAACTATGAAAGACGGATGAAAAAATTTAATAGAAGAAGTTAGCGAATTCGATACACAATTCTATCGGATTTCAATTGAAATCTTCAGTAAAAAATATTGAATAGAAAAAAATAGAATTCGATTTTTATATGCAGCTTGTTCCATTGAAATATTTGCTATAAAATTTCCTCGGCTTCGATTTTCCAAGTTTTTTTGTTTGATTTTCTTAATGAGAAGCGAAAAAAATATAATGAAAAAAACTTGGAAAATTTGAGGGGAGGAAATTCTGTAGAAAATATCTGAAGAGAATAAGGTGTATGAAAAAAATTAATTTTATTGACTGAAAAGTTGAACATAAATGTAATAAAATTTTCTAAGGAATGCGCTAAATTTCTATATGGATTTTTTTCTTACGCGCGTCTTTAAATCCAACACGAATGCGAAGTAGCGCCGCGCTACGGAGTGTGACATTAGCGAAACGCGCTGAAAGATAGAGTGTCACCCCCCTGACTGGGGAGAAAAGATCTATGAAGTAGGCGAAGAAAAAAAAAGTAGTGTGATTAGAAGAGAAAAATTTGTCAGCAAGTATTTTTGTCTTCAACATTTTCATTATTGAATTGTTGGTGGAGAGAATATAGAACGTACTCGTGAAAGCATCGCAGAAAATGAGTAGATCATGCCTGGAATAATTCATTTTATTTTGAATTCTGAAGAGATGGACAGGGCCTGCACCATAGACATATAATACCTAGATCGTACATGTGGTGGGGGAAGCTGTACAGGTTTAGGCAGAGAGAGATGCTGTCGGTCCCTACTCATCCTTGTTCAGCAGTGCTACAGTAAATTTTACCGTGGATTCACGGTAGATTCTCAGATCCGATCAATTAGCCCCTCATGTATAGATATTCCAAATTTTCATTTTTTTCCTCATTGAAGTAGTTTTGAAGAAAATTGCGAGCTAATAAAAAACATTTGCTAGTTAGTACTTTTTTTAAATAAAATTTTGAAAATCACCCTTGAAAAAAAAGGTGTTATCTTCTCTATTTCATTATTTCCAAAAAATTTTATCACCAATCGATAGAAAATTGTTTGAAGATTTTTGAGAGTTAAGAAAAAATCGTCAATGCAATCCTATTATTGTGTAAATTAACAATTCCAATTTCAACTCAAAACCAGAGTTGATGACCAGAGTTTGTAGCAGAGATGTCGGACAAGATATGAATGTTTTTTTTTTGACTCAAATGAAAGAGCGGCTCGAAAAATAGCGTGCAGAAGTCTTTAAAAATGACAAATGTCTCTAAAGATGATGTCTGTTTTCAACTGAAAAGCGCAATTGTGACAACATTGTCCAGTGGGGTCTAGGAGTCTCCCCTGGTTCAAAACCATCTTTAGAGGCCCTAGCACGCCATTTCTCGACCCGCTCTTTCATTTGAGCCCAAAAAAACATTCATATCTTGTCTGACATCGCTGCCACAAACTCGGGTCTATAACTCGGGCTTTCAATTGAAAGCCCGAGAAAAAAAAAATTTGGATGTTCGATGATTATTTTACCCGGAAGAGTATCTCAAATTTATCCTAGGAACAAACAAAATTTTATCCCAAGGTTAAATAAGTGTTCATTCAAATGGGGCTACAGGATAAATAACAAATTATTCTTCCGGTCAAATATTGAAAAATGATGACCCCTACGATATAATTGACCCCGAGGACAAATTACCCTTGGGTTTATTTGGATAACAGGGCTAGATGCAACCGAGCCTAAAATCTTTTCTGCAGCAGAACATTCACTAAAAATCTACCTACATACATACTTCAATCAATGGTATTTATCAATTCCACCCGGTCCATTCACCCGATTATCTGATAATAAATATACGAATCTTCGCTCTTCATAGAAAGAGTGAAATAAAGTTGAAAGGGATATATCGTTCACATAATGACTCGGATATTTTGGTTCTGTAATTTCTGCAGTAATCGTCATGATCAGGGAACGTGCCCTGAACGTGAAATAGAGTTCGATGGCCAGAATTATCAGTTCATTTAAGTGCTCTCGATTTATCGATTTCATCTTTATCACTATTGTCTTTATGCAATCTACACTGCGATGTCTTTTTTTAATGAATAAAGACTATTTTTATATAATCCCATTCTATTCATATCTATTCAATATTTTATAAGAAAGATTCCTATTGAAAAAAAAGCGAAATTAACGAAAAACCAATCGAATTCTAATAGAAACTCCGAGCAAATTCACGTAGATTTGGTAGGCTAGTAATTTTTATAACATAAGCAGTATAATGAACGACTCATTTTATGAATTTTATTATTACACTTTATGTGTATTTAATTTGATTCTGCGATTCGCCATGTGCTGGGTCTTAATGGAATAAAAACATGAAAATGAACTGAAATGTGTGAGGATTCCCCATCAATTATTTTCGTTGTAAATAATCGATTACAATGAATATTAATAATTATTCCACCCTTCACAAATAATTATCAAATCGAATTACCGTAAAATTGCCCCTGAACACGAATCCTTCCCAGATAAATATAAAACCACAAAATATAATGACAAAAAATGAAAACCGCTATCAGTTATTGGAGCGCTAAAATTTTCAATGGAGAATATTTTGCAAAAAAATTTGTGGTTTTCGATCTATTCTTCTTTCACCACCTTATCCTGTTGAAGAATCGAAATTCGTTTTTTTTTCTATTAAATTAAATAGTTCATACGAAAGATTCCTATTGAAAAAAAAACCGAATGAACGAAAATCCATTCGAATTTCAATAGAATCTCCTCGCGAGTGCGTGAGGTTTTTCCATCAATTATTTTCGTAATAAATAGTCAATTACACTGAATATTAATCCTCCCTTAATGAATAGTTATCGAATCGAATTACCGTAAAATTGTCCCTAAACCCGAATCATTCCCAGATAAATAAAAAAACTACAAAATAACAATATTGTTATTAAAAAAAAACGAGACCCGATGTTATTAGACCCCTAAAATTAGTGGATGCAGATTTGTTTTTCTTAACAATTTATCCTGTTAAAGAATCGAAATCCGTAATTTTTCCTATTAATTAATTCGCACCAAAGATTCTCATCGAAAAAAAATCGAATAAACAAAAATCTATTCGAATTTCCCAGCAGATGCGTGCGGCTTTCCTAAAAGTTCTTTTCGCAATGAACAATATCAATGTAATAAATATTAACAATTGTTACAGATAGATAATTATAGTTATAGATATGTTATAGATAATTAGATATCTCCCTTTAAAAAATAGTTACAGCACCTCCATTGCCGTGAAATTGCCCCTGAACCCGAATAATTCCCCGATAAATAAAACTACAAAATAACAATAACAAAGAAATAAATCCGCTATCTGTTTTTGAAGCGTGAAACGTCTGACGCCCCCTCCACAGTCCCAAGGCCGCTCCCAAGCCACCAGTCAGCTGTTCCTCACCCATGCATTCATAATCTCCCCCCTTTTACGTGTGCGTGTGTGTCCCCTCTGCTCCGTAACTCGCATCCGCTGTCTCTCAGTGCTCTCACATAGTTGAATAGTGTCGTATCAGTTTCCGACGATTTCGCGCTATCACCTCGGCAACCTGGAAATTCCATTGTCCATTATTTCATCAATGCCAGTACCACTCGATCATTCCGGATGTGAGCATCACAGTGAGCCCCGCTATTCTCCAGTAGCCTCTAAAAATCAGTGCACACCATCGCCGTGATTCCGCTCGAGGTATTGCATTCTGGCGCAACCACGACATCGACGACCAAGGGGGATATGGCAACAACAAGGAAAATGGCCGCTGGTAATGACAGGAGGTGCAATGTTGTTGAGGATCGTGCGCGTGGCAGTAATTCATTGAGGGGCAATACATGGAGCGAAGTGTCGGACAGTGCTGATGAACATGAGCATAGTCCATTCGCTGACAGGGCTGCTAATGTTGCTAGGTATGTCATCGTTTGTTGAGAACAAAAGCATGCGAAAATAGGGGGAATTGAGAATTTGGAGTAAACAAGGTTTTGGAGCATGGGTTGCTCCAATTTTGTAATTTTTTTTGGTGATTATTTTTCCAACCCAAATATCGGGCAATATATATAATTGGCACATTCGACATCACGTGGTACAAGCTACAGGGTTTTCAACTGAACTGACTAATTTTTTAATAATTTTCTCTGGTAGTTGCTATATAAAAACAAAACATCATGCAGTGGAATAACCCCTCGTCAAACTGACAGATTGAATTCAATTGTGTCGTTGTGTTAATTATACAATTTTCGTTTCTCAAGTCTGAGTTGCGTCTCATGGTTCAATTATATTGCCCGACATTTGGATTGGAAAAATAATCCTCCGAATATCACACGAGCTTCAAAATTAATCGGGCATTTTCCTCAAGGTTCTCTGCATACAAACGAAGTCGTCAAGTTTTTCAGGAAAAATATTTTAACCTGAAAAACTTGACTTCTTCGTTTGTTTGCAACGAACCTATCGAAAATACCCGATAATTTTGAAGCTCTTGTGGTATTACAACTGATAATTTTTTGATAATTTTCTCTGGTAGTTGCTATATAAAAACAAAACATCATGCAGTGGAATTAACTCCTTGTCAAACTGACAGATTGAATTCAATTGTGTCGTTGTGTTAATTATACAATTTTCGTTTCTCAAGTCTGAGTTTCGTCTCATGGTTCAATTATATTGCCCGACATTTGGATTGGAAAAATAATCCCCCGAATATCACACGAGCTTCAAAATTAATCGGGCATTTTCCTCAAGGTTCTCTGCATACAAACGAAGTCGTCAACTTTTTCAGGAAAAATTTGACTTCTTCGTTTGTTTGCAACGAACCTATCGAAAATACCCGATAATTTTGAAGCTCTTGTGGTATTACAACTGATAATTTTTTGATAATTTTCTCTGGTAGTTGCTATATAAAAACAACACATCATGCAGTGGAATTAACTCCTCGTCAAACTGACAGATTGAATTCAATTGTGTCGTTGTGTTAATTATACAATTTTCGTTTCTCAATTTTGAGTTTTGTCTCGTGGTCCAATTATATTGTCCGACATTTGGATTGGAAAAATAATGTGAGGTTACAGAGAGGTATATTTTTTTCCTTTGAATTTAACACTCAATTGTTAAAGTTCACGAAAAACAGAAGGAGATCACCAATTTGGAGTGAATAATGGTTGGGGGTATGGGGTATAGTGGTTACTTCAGTTTTGTATTTTTTTTTGTGAAGAAACTGTGGGTTATAGAATCAGATCGTATGATGTCAAACATCGCTAATGAAAGGGGGTGATTGATGAAGAAGTGAAGAAAAAGATGAAAGAGAATATGAAGATACAGAGAGATGGACTTTTTTCCTGTGAATTTAATAGCCAATTGTTGAAGTTCACAAAAAACAGAGGGAGATCACCAATTTGGAGTGAATAATGTTTGGGGAAATGGGAATTTGGAGTAAACAACGTTTTGGAGCATGGGTTGCTCCAATTTTGTAATTTTTTTTGGGGAGAAATTTTGATGGGATCAATCGGCAGTAATGAAATGGGGGTAATTGATGAAGAATTGAAGAGAAGGTTGAAAGAGAATGTGAGGTTACAGAGAGGTATATTTTTTTCCTGTGAATTTAACACTCAATTGTTAAAGTTCACGAAAAACAGAAGGAGATCACCAATTTGGACTAAATAATGGTTGGGGGTATGGGGTATAGTGGTTACTTCAGTTTTGTATTTTTTTTTGTGAAGAAACTGTGGGTTATAGAATCCGATCGTATGATGTCAAACATCGATAATGAAAGGGGGTGATTGATGAAGAAGTGAAGAAAAAGATGAAAGAGAATATGAAGTTACAGAGAGATGGACTTTTTTCCTGTGAATTTAACAGCCAATTGTTGAAGTTCACAAAAAACAGAGGGAGATCACCAATTTGGAGTGAATAATGTTTGGGGGTATCGAGTGTAGTGGTTACTCCAATTTTTTAATTTTTGTTTGGTGAAAATAATTGATATTATCAATTCTCAGTAATGAAATGAGAGTAATTGATGAAGAATTGAAGAAAAAGTTGAAAGAGAATATGCAGTTACCCAGAGATAGATTTTTTTCCTGGGAATTTAAGATTCAATAGCTGAAAAATTGTAGGATCACAATATATGGAATAACATTTTCAGTTAATATATGCGGAGTTTAGGAAAAATAGGGAACAATTGGGAATTTGGAGTAAACAATGTTTTGGAGCATGGAGTATAGTAGTTACTCCAAATTTTGTAATTTTTGCTGAAGAAACTACGGGTTATAGAATCAGAACGTATGAATCCTCGTATCAATCCTCAGTAATGAAATGAGATAATTGATGAAGTAAAGAAAAAAAAATACAAAGCGAATTTGAATTTAGAGAGAAAAAGAATTCTTTTCTGTTATTTTCAATATCAATAGTTTGCGTTCTCCAGAAACAGAAGATCCCAAATTTGGAGTAAACAATGTTTTGCGCATGGGGTATATGGTTACTCCAATTTTTTAATTTTTCAAAAAATGTCCTGGGGTATGAGAATGAAATAGAGAAAATTGAAAAAATCTACAGAAATTAAAATTTATTATATCTGTATTACAGAATTACAACAAATGAGATAATCAATATTTTCCCTGAATTGATTGCATTACTTCAGTCATGAGAAAGATACAATTTAGAATAAAAGTATTAAAAAAACTCTCAGCGATTAAAATCTACAAAAAAACAAGGAAATTACAAATGTGGAGTGGACTCCAACGGTTTTATCAGTGATAGAATAGAGGAGACTCTACACCTTCTTTAATCAATAGAAACATCATCTCTCTATCTTCATTCACCACAACCCCACACAGCGTTTAAATTTCCCAAACGACAAAACAAAATACCAAAATCGGAGTGAACAATGTATCTGAGCGTAAACTATCTTAGTTTCTCCAATTTCGTAAACGGACTGAACAATACATGTTCTGTGGAATTGCAACGTTTGAGATAATCAATGCTTTCACAGAAGTCACGGTATTAAATGCAGTAAATGAAATGAAAGCTACTAAAAGGCACTAATTCAACTCTCTATTTCATCATTAATCATGAATAATTCATGGAAGCAATAAAATCAGAGAGTTATAGTGTGGAATCTATGGTTCCCTCCAATGTTGTAGTTCTGTTAGGCTAAAGAAATGAATTTTGAACTGAAGGATTACAGCATATGAGACAATCACGTTCCCCCGCATTGCATTAATTCACTAATAAAATAAAGAAACCTGTAAATCCTCTTCGTACAACGAAAGAAATTCCCTAAGAATTTCCTAAGGCTGTTCATCATTTTATTATTAATCACCAATAACTGGAGAAAAACGTCGTCTACATCCCTCTTTGTCTACGAAGATTAATCCAATAAAAAATTATAAAGTTGGGGTGAATAATACATTCTTAACCTACGCACTAGAGAATACATTAAAAAATACATTGCGTAGTGATTATCTGAGGCTGATTAATTTCTTAATGCATTCCATTAATTTATGAACACAGAAAGATAAGAGTATTAACAAATACATTTAATAGTGAAATGTCTAATCTAATCTAATTCAATCTATTCGAGTTAATAGTAGGAATACTTGCATGGCTTATGAAGATGAAATATTCTATTTGATTCATTCTATACTACATATTTGAAATTAATCATTGCATTAATTCACTAAATGTGATTAAATAATTAATCACACAATAAATGATGATGAAGATGAATTTTTCTTTAATATGAAAATCCTGATTATTTAAATCTTCAAATCTTTATTTGTAAAAATTACTTCAATACGACAAAAAATGAAATTGAAGTACCATTATATTTTTAATGTATATACAATGTGAATTAAATCTCACTCCAATATCCCACGACTCTTAAAACTTATAGTAGTCTTCCCTTAACGGCTGAGGAAGTGAAAGTATTCTTAAACCAAATTATTCCCTCTCAATCATCCCCTCACTCGAAAAATAATAATCTCTAGGGACGGAATAATCGACCAGCCCCACTACGACGCGATCGTCTACGCGGAGGACAAGATGCGTCGACGGCTCCGTTTCTTCTTCATGAATCCCGTCGAGAAATGGCAGGCAAGACGTCGCGTCCCGTACAAATTCATCGTCCAAGTGATAAAGATCATTCTAGTCACCGTGCAGCTCTGTCTCTTCGCCCACAACAATTACATGCACGTCAACTACACGTGGGACAACAGAATCGCATTCTCCCACCTATTTCTGATGGGCTGGGATGCCACCCAAGAGGTGATTATAATCTCCCCCTATCTCCAAAAGCTGAAAAAAAAACCTCCCGTCGTGCGATTAAAACTAATCATTCAGCGAACTCGTGGTGTCCCCTTATCAGTCATAGAGTACTCACTATTTCTTGTTGACTCAGTCTCGTTATTCATCCTGTCCCGTCAATCTTAGAATCACTTTATCACTTATCAAATTAAGACCAGCGATAATCTATTTAAAGGTACCAGCATATCCCCCAACAACGGCACCACTGGCTCTCTACAAGCAAGATGATTTCTACGCTACAATTGATTATGCATTAAGAGGATATTATAATCTCAGCAATGCCATTGGATCGTACTCATACACTGAAGAGGATAATTCAATAGGCCGGGTCGATCTGTGTCTGCATCAGTACAAAGAGGGCACAATATTTGGTTTCAACGAGAGTTATGTGTTCAACAATGAGATTGAGAAAATCTGCATTCAGATTAATCACACGTTTCAGGGAGACGCGGGAGTTGAGACGAAAAAACTGCTGGTGGAGAAGGAAATTGTCATTAATTTCTCAGCTCTTGTGAAAGCCGAGTTGCAATTTGCGGTTAAAACGGTCAATTTGAAGGCAGCGGGGCCTATAACACCACCGGATTGCTATCAATTCGACATCAAGATTCTACTCGATAATAGTGATTTCGATGGACAAATGCTGCTATCTCTCGACGCGGAACCAAACAGGCTGCAATGCAAAGGTGATACCAGATACATTACTGATAATAGGATTGACTCTGCATTGAGGACACTTCTTAATCTCTTCGTTATATTCATATGCGCTATTTCGTTGGGGCTGTGCTCACGAGCTATCTACAGGGCGCAACTGCTCAAATTCGAGACTATTGGGTTCTTTAAGAAGACTTATGGCAAGGTTTTGAGCTTGGAGGGACGACTGGAGTTTCTTAATATGTGGTACATCATGATTATTATCAATGATCTGCTTATCATATTGGGGTCGGGGATCAAGGAGCAGATTGAGAGGAAGTACTTTGGCAGCGATCATTGGAATATCTGCAGCATTTTCCTGGGAACTGGGAATCTTCTCGTGTGGTTTGGGGTCCTGAGGTAATAATTTCGGGAATTGTCGTGGGTTTGGTGTAAAGTAGGAAAAAATTCATAGAAATATTTAGAGAATTCGATTGGAAGTTCGATTGGATTTCTGTTGATCGTTCTAGTAGTTTTTGGCCCATTCGTTTTTCAACATTCGATTTTTCTACGCAACTCATTTCAGCGAGATATTTTCGATAGAAATTCCTTGGCTCAATTTTATGTTTGATTTTTTTAAAGTAAAAAGAGAAGAAAAATACAGTGGAAAAAACTTGGAAAATTCATGAACGATGAAATTCTACTAATTTTTTCTGTAAAATAGCTTCTATTGAACAAAAAAACTCCCAATACAGCTGCAGAATTCTTGAATAGAATCATTCAAAAACTAATAGAATTTTTTTGTACGTGCATTTCCCATTGAATTGAATAGAATTTTTATTGAAATGAAAACATATTCTCAATCCTTTAAATCGAATTTTCATTGAAATCTTGAGGATATTTACGTAAAATAAAAAATAATGAATAATAAAAATAAAATCAAATAAAATAGAGAAATAAAATAAAAATAAAATAATTAGAAATACAATATCCCTTCCAATTGATATTCTATCGACGAATGATATCACGAAGAATACCAACGAATAATTGAATTTCAAATTAAATATTCTCAAATTGATAATTAATAACGAATAATTGAATTTTAATTTAAAAAATTGAAATGGCTGTTTGCATTGGCACAGGTACCTCGGCTTCTTCAAGACGTACAACGTCGTCATCTTGACCCTGAAAAAAGCAGCTCCCAAGGTGGCGAGGTTCCTAGTCTGTGCGATCTTGATCTACGCTGGTTTCACATTCTGCGGATGGTTGACACTGGGCCCCTACCACCTAAAATTCAGGAGTCTTGCCACCACCTCAGAGTGCCTCTTTGCTCTCATCAATGGTGATGAACTGTTCGCAACATTCTCCATAACTTCATTCAAATCTCCACTCCTCTGGTGGTACTCGAGGATCTATCTCTACACTTTCATATCCCTTTATATCTACGTGGTACTGAGTCTCTTCATCTCTATCATCATGGACGCTTATGACACTATCAAGCTGTACTATCGCGATGGTTTTCCCAAGAATGATCTTCAGGCGTTTATCGCTGTCTGCACTGATGAGGCCTCCAGTGGTGTTTTTCGCCAGGAGTCCGGTGGCAACAATTTCAGTGAACTCTTTGGAAAACTTTGTTGCTGTCGGAAAAGACCCTACGGGTCTCTTTCAGGGTCTGCAAATTCAGGTGCAACAGTTAAATCCGATGAAAACTGCGGCGCAATCTGTATATAGTAGGTTAATCGAGCCTCCGGGAACTGCGAAATATTATGGATCAATTTAGTAATAAGGAGAACGGACGAGAAAATTTCGCTAAAAAATCTGGCGAATTCGATTGAACATTCTGTTGGATTTCTCTTGAATTTTTTATTAGTCGTTGGCTGATTCTGAAAAAAATATTTCATGGAAAGAATCTGTAGAATATTTTTCTATACAATTTATTGTTGTGTATTTTTTATAGAAATGCATCAGCTCGAGTTTTTTGTTTGATTTTTGAAATGAATGAAGATAGACAATGGAACAATAATAATAGAAGAACAATAGAACAATAATTTGCTAGGGAAAATGTCTCAATGGAAAAAGTTTTATGAGAGATGAAATTTCTATTTGGAAATTTCCCTGGGGAATTCTCCAACAAAGTCGGCCAAAAACTCATAGAACTTCTAAAAGAAGTGCATTAGAAATTTAATAGAATTTTCTATCGAATTCGATAAATTTCATGATGAATTTTTTTCGTGCGAGGAACTTTTTGTATTTTGGAAAATAGCTTTGGGGTGAATGGTACAGTGTTCGGAATGAAATACCAGTGATTGAACCAATGTCATTCGATGGTAATTTTAATATCGAAAAGGTCCAAGAGAAAATTCTATTGGAAAATTCAGCAGATTTCTTGCATTTTTTTAAATTGCGTGTTCAATAGAAAGAACTGTAGGGAAAAGATAATTCTAATATCTTTAATATGGGGAACTTCTGGAAAATTCAATGATTCGTTCCTTTTTTTTTAATTCAAAGTTTATTTTATGTCTCCCTGGGTTTTATTGAGATAAAAACAACTCATTTTTGTTTCCATTTTTACAAATATGCAATAGAAATCAAAAGATACTCCGGAATTTCCTCTGATCCACTAATTGATTATCATTTTTTTCAATTCACGGTTTATTTTATCGGTCTTCCTGGATTTTACAGCGGGAAAAATATGACATTACATTAGATTTCTAATGAATAAAAAATCTAAAGTAACCGTTATTTGAACTTTCACGACTATCAAACATTCTGATCGTCATATGTCACTCAAATTCGAATTTTTCCAAAAATGACTTATTTTCTAGATACTAAAGTGATGAAAAATCCATGTAAATTAGTTGTTCAATGTTACAAGAATTTTCGTTATTTTTTTTTTGTTTCACACAAATATTCAAAAAAAATCAAAAGATACTGCGAAATTTCCTTTGAAAACTCCAATGATTCATTAATTTTTTAAAACTCAAAGTTCATTTTAATAGTTTTTTTGAAATGTTTTTGAAAGAAAAATGTGGCATTACATTGGATTGAATTTTGAAAAGTCCCAAGAATTTTCAACAACCAATTTTCACTTTTTTTCATACTTGCAATCAAAATGTTCTATTATTGCCCTATATTCTCCTTGAAAGAAGGAAAATATGACATTCTAGTATCGAATAAATGCCTCAAGTATTTCGAACACAAGACCATTCACCCACAACATCAATCAAATTGTAAAAACTGCCAAATGGACTGCGTTTGCACCTTCCTTGTTCAAGAAAGTAGAGAACGAATAAATAGTATTCAGTTGGATGAATAAATGTGATATTAGGAAAAATGAGAAACCATCAACAGTGCATCGATAACCCTGTCAATTCGAGGATCATTTCGATTTATCTGGAGGTGAGAATGAGATATTGTTGGAGACAATAAACCTGCGGAATATTTTGGCCTTGGTGAGGAGAAACATTAATATTATAAAACATGTATTTTGTGATTAATTGCAACCACTTGATGCCCACAAAATACTTCCCTGTGCAGCACAAAACAGGTAGAACAAAATTGACTGTAATCCGTGTGTTACGAACAATTAGGAAAAATGTCTTTGTATCGAGTTTGATGGTGATCAGTACTCATAGGTGCTACGTGAGGTCTGTGATACGGCAACGAGAACTGGGGAAATTAATATTTTAATAGTTCATTTTAGAAAAATGTTATTTAAAATCAATAGTTGAAAGAGATCACTTGAGAAATTTTTATTTCACGATTTGAAATTGCTTTTTTTCTTTTCACACAAGAGTATTTGATGAATAATGGAGAACTATTGGGAACGATCAATGAATTTAGTGAAATTAAATACCAAATACTTATTCCATTCGACTTTTCGAGGGAAAAATTAATGAATATTATTGATTTCTCTAAAATAATGAACTTGAAATGCAATTTCTGTCCCCAGTAGTCCCCAGTTCTGATAAAGTGACTTGCCATTTCACCTTATTGATAAAAATAATAATGCTCGAGTGATGGAACTTACTTATCATTACATCTCGTTTCGTACCACAAACACAATGATAAATAATCATTTTTATACGTGATGAAATCGCAGCCTGATTTCGTTAATTCCATAGACAGAAATTTATTTATTTATTATTTTTTTTGTTATCTGTAGAGAGACTTTGGGAGAGATAATCGAGTGGATTATATTTTCAAAATACAGGCAGTTTGAATTGTTACCATAATGTTTTATTTTGTATTTTCTCAATTGGACATGTATATAGCGTGAATTTTATGTGAATAAACATAAAACACTTGGAATGTTTCTGAATCTTTCGCGAGACCAGTGAAAGAGGGGAGCAGTCAGTTGAATACTCTGGAGGTTGACGATGACGAAGGGTAAACAAGTATTAATTATGCCAAGTCTACAGCACGAAAAGATGATTCGTATTCATTATTTTATACTCATTGAAACGTTTTGCTAATGATCTCGTAAGGTGATAAGTTTTACTGATGAATTCACTTAATAAATTGATTGTTCATTGATAATTTATTTATTTTATTGTTCAACTCACTTGAATGTTCTAGAATTTTATGTGGAGGATTGAAAAATTTATCAATCGTTGCGAGGGGAGGAAATCTGATTGATCAGGAGATTATGATCGCGGAAAGTCCAGAGGAATATCGTAACTCGTTTTATTAACGGATTTTATCCGGGGCTTCCCAATTAAATCCCTTTTTCGTTAGACATTTGCGTGCAATCCATAATTGCGTTCCCATTAGTCATTCGCGAATGTTTTCTTTTTACCTTGCACATGTCTTCCGTAAGAATTTTCTCAATTCAGGAAATTTCGCGCGAGCCAAATTCATTTCGACGACAGGTTGAATCTTTCGTAAGACCAGTGGGAGCCGGGAGTATTCAATTATGAATATTCCGGAGGCTGATGATGAGGAAGGTTGAACAAGTATTAATTATGCCAAGTCTACAGCACGAAAAGATGATCCGTATTCATTATTTTATACTCATTGAAACGTTTTGCTAATGATCTCGTAAGGTGATAAGTTTTACTGATGAATTCACTTAATAAATTGATTGTTCATTGATAATTTATTTATTTTATTGTTCAACTCACTTGAATGTTCTAGAATTTTATGTGGAGGATTGAAAAATTTATCAATCGTTGCGAGGGGAGGAAATCTGATTGATCAGGAGATTATGATCGCGGAAAGTCCAGAGGAATATCGTAACTCGTTTTATTAACGGATTTTATTCGGGGCTTCCCAATTAAATCCCTTTTTCGTTAGACATTTGCGTGCAATCCATAATTGCGTTCCCATTAGTCATGCGCTTTTTTTTCTTTTTACCTATCAGATGTCTTCCGTAAGAATTTTCTCAATTCAGGAAATTTCGCGCGAGCCAAATTCATTTCGACGACAGGTTGAATCTTTCGTAAGACCAGTGGGAGCCGGGAGTATTCAATTATGAATATTCCGGAGGCTGATGATGAGGAAGGTTGAACAAGTATTAATTATGCCAAGTCTACAGCACGAAAAGATGATCCGTATTCATTATTTTATACTCATTGAAACGTTTTGCTAATGATCTCGTAAGGTGATAAGTTTTACTGATGAATTCATTTAATAAATTGATTGTTCATTGATAATTTATTTATTTTATTGTTCAACTCACTTGAATGTTCTAGAATTTTATGTGGAGGATTGAAAAATTTATCAATCGTTGCGAGGGGAGGAAATCTGATTGATCAGGAGATTATGATCGCGGAAAGTCCAGAGGAATATCGTAACTCGTTTTATTAACGGATTTTATCCGGGGCTTCCCAATTAAATCCCTTTTTCGTTAGACATTTGTGTGCAATCCATAATTGCGTTCCCATTAGTCATTCGCGAATGTTTTCTTTTTACCTATCACATGTCTTCCGTAAGAATTTTCTCAATGCAGGAAATTTCACGCGAGCCAAATTCATTTTAGTGACAAATTAATTGTATCTCGTGCAAGATAATTGCGTAATTACCCTTTTTAAATAGACCATTGTTATTGGATATAAATCATGAGATGCAGGAGCGTAATTACGAATATTGATTGCATATTTTTCACTCATTAGAGACTTTTATTAGATTTCTGTTAAGAAATACCTCAACTTTGGTTTTTTCAAGAGATATTCTGATGAAATAAGCTCAATACTTTCTCTAGAAAAATTCTTAGACATAGATTTTTAACGTTTTTTTCCGTCATATTTTCTTCAGTTTCTCATGAAAATAAAATCAGAAAAGGAAATTAAACATTCTTGCTTACCAATTCTCATTCAAAAAATTTTAACAAAAGAAGTTGCGGAAAAATCAACATTTATTGGCTCTTTTTATCGAAATTTCTTGGAGAAGATTCTAGGTTTTTGATTGAAATTTTTCCATACGCGTGAAAAATTATTTCACTTGCGTTATTCTCCGAAATAAAAAGACTCTCACCCTATCTCTTTAATTTTATCCTAATTTGCTAATGAAAGACCCGAGGATTTCAATATGATATAATATGACTGTTACGCTAAAAACCTAATGGATGTACCGAACCATCTTGGCGCTGCGCCAAGTACACGAACCGGCCTCAATTAGCCGGATTGCGTACACACATATTGCGGGTTAAACTACACGAAACATCCATCACACAAATCCAGCTCGACAATTTGCGTAAAAATCCGTCAAACCCGCTAACGATTCCCGAAACAAGCCCATGATTTACCGAATGGTGCCACCCACAATTTCCCCCAGAAAGTGGGAACGGAGTGTCGAAAATCCTTGGCACAATTTTTGCCAGCACCACTTGTTCAACAATAAAACCTCAAGATGACATGTTAAATCCAATTCGTAAATTCCACTGGATCAAAAAACT